GGGGGGGGGGGGACGCAAAAAGAAATGGGAAACTAGGCAATACTTGTGCCTTTGAGGCAAGGCACTGCATTCGTTCATTGTTAGGAGGGAAATGCCTTGACAGCTGGAGGACAGGGAGAATTTCACATGGTTATAATAAGAATTTTCCTGAAGTTCTTAATGAGTTTTTGCTGCAGTAACAGCTGCCAAAGCCTTGAGACAGTTACAATGTTTCTTTTCTTCTGAATGTTAGCCACCTCTGTAGGTTAAGATAGGAGAGAAATGTAGTACACTGTCCCACCTTAACCCTACATCCTTTGAAGATAGTACTGCTACCAGTAACAGTGTGGGCTTCTGGATTGACTCCAGGTCACAATGGAGCTGGATGCTTTACAAAAGCATCACTTTGCATATACTTATGGACCAACTACATTTTGGTTCAAACCAAATTGTTGGACATCTAGAGAAGAGGATAAATAAGTTTGGGAAGAGGCTCCATCCAAGATGACCCTTTGAAGCAGCATCTTGTTGGAAAGTATGGTGAATTACTTACTAAATTTGAGCGTATGAAATAGGGGAAATGAAATGAAACCACAGCCCCTCCTTGATCAGGTAGTGCAAAATCCTAGAGTTCAGTCAGGTTTCTTGCTGAGGCATACGAAAATATTTCCTATTTCAAACAAAATAGCTGAGGAAACAATACTGGCATTTGTCTGAAGAATATACTACAGTCTTTATTTAAAAGAAAATCTGCTTTGCACGTATCTTGTCAGCACCGTGGCATTATGCACAAGTAGGACTTTGTTAACCTTCAAATAAATTCCTTTTCCCTGATAATATGCTGTGTTTAACAAAACATACTAGGATTAATTTTGGACTTTGTCCTTATATACCAACAGAGCAGAAGATTTTTGCTTCTTAACTGCACTGAAAGGTGCTCTTTTCATACTACTCTGTGTAATTGTTATATTTGCTACAAAGAATTAGTCTGTAAAACTGAACAGGAGTTCAGGTTGTCCAAGAGGTAGCCTATGTATTATGTGGTTTATATTATTTACAATTCTGAGAATTCCTTACCTTGGTACCATAAGACCAAAATTTTTAACAGCAATATGTAAAATAAATAAATAAAAATGAGGTGTCCTAACTCCTAATTCAGGGATTCAAAAAGAAGATCTCTTTTAACTATAGGGGAAAAATTGTGCTGATAGAAAAAAATTGTGAATGCTGAACATTTTTAAAAAAAAAAGCATAGCACTATGCTGTTGTTATTTTGAAGGAAAAAACCTGTATTATTATATTACTTGACTAACACTTTCTGTAAACTTGAGATTCATTGTTGGGGAATAGAGGTGGATGCACAGTCCATAAAGGTTTTAAAATCATATTAAATTTCATCCCATTTCTATTATTATCTACCAGTATTAGCTTTCAGATATTATTGGCTGGGCCAAGAGCTTTATAAAAAAGAAGCCTTCCTAATATACTTAAAAAACATAGAAGAAATGTAAAACTTGCATGGCAGCAGATGAGCACATCAGAATCCCCAAGTTTCAACTTTTTGCGATGGGCATTTCTAGGAACATACAGGAGGGAGACCCTGGGTCTGGGAGCCCAGTCACTACTCTTTCAGGAAACCATATTTCAATCCCTTTCATCAAACTGATGAAGTTCTGTTGTAGGGATACTCAATCCCTGACTCCAAATGGAACTGCTTTGATAGTAAGAAGCCTAAATTCTAGCTTACATTTATTTATAGCCAATTTAATATCCATTTATTTTGATCATCCACTTCCATCAGCCTTATTCTTTAGCTTTACTAGGTCTGTTCTCTCTCTGATGTTTATCTCCCTCCCAATATCTTTATGTAAAGCAATCATAACCCCCTCAGTTTTCATTTTCCTAAGATTAAATAGGCCTGTTCTTCTAGTTTTCTGCTGTGAAACAGATTCTGTCCTCCTGATCATCCTCATCACTGCTCTCTGTGCCTGTTCCAATCTGAATTTCATATTTTGAATGTGGGGGACTAGAACTGTATGCTGTATATCAGATGAGGTCTTAACAAGACCCTTATACAAGTGCATAACTTCTCATTTTTACTATTAAATTTTATCCCATGTCTATTATTTTAATCCTTCATGACATTCTCTTCTTCCTGTAAGAGGTTTCAATCCCCTTTTGCATTATGAAGTCTTCCAGCTTTGCATCATTAGTGAAATTTCTTTAGCCTTACCCTGCTTTTTTGTGCTGAGGTCATTAATGAAATTATTAAATAGCTTAGGTCCTAGGACAGATGCACAGAGAAAGCCACTGGTAACCTTCCTCCATGACCTTCAACATAAAATACTATAATCTTTTCTTTATCCAGTTTCTTTCCCACTTTGTAATTCTTTTGATAATCTAAACCTCCAATTTAATGAAATTTCCCTTATGGTGCTAGAACAGATGCTTTCCTGAAGTTGAAATAGATTAAATTACTCCATTTCCATTCTCTAGAAAGAAGTCATCCTTGGAAAAATGATAGCATAATTTAAAGTTGGTAAATACATACTGTATTTTATCCCATTTTCAATTTCTTTTAATGTATTCTTAATTATTCTTTCCTTCAAGATTTGTTCTAAAACTGTGCATACTCTTAAAGTCATGATAACATGCCTGTAAGTGGCTGATCACTTCTCTCTCCTATCTTAAAACAATATGCACTGTATTTGGTATTCTGCAGTCATACAATGCAACCCCCCAACTTGAGTGTTTTATTAAAATTCTTGTT